TCATACTCTATACAGACAGCATGGAGCTGTGGTCAGCTTCACACTGAAAGCAATACACAGGGGTTGCTCTCTGTCTCGACTTGCAGACTGTTATAACACACGTGTACTTTTACTTTCTGAGGAGAAACTGTGGCATTTGACTTCCTTCCAATGTATGTCTTCCAGCCAACAACTGAAATGCTTAAAGAACCAAAAGGAATCAACACTCAGAAATGGTGGTCAAAGTTCCAAAATTTGATCAATAAAAATTGCTCATCTGCTGCAAACTAATCCCTAGCTAGTAGAGCCACACGTTTTGGAGGTTATGAGGGCACCTGCGCTGTTAGGCATTTAGTTTAGTTGTTTAAGCAATCTTCAGAAGTATATAAATATTTATAAAAATCAGCCTACTATTTTTACCCACCTCTAATTTTTTTAAGCAAAATTGAATTAATGCACTTACAGTTGCATGGCATCCTGAAGGCAATGTCTATGTCTATAGTGAAGTGTCCTACACACACCAGCCCAGCACCTAGCACACTGTGGCTCTTCTGAGATGTTCACCAAAATGCATTTAATGAATTCAGATCATTCTGATTGTGAATTCAGGATGGAGCTAATTCTCAATTTTTATTTCTATCATTCATAAAAGATAACTGCAAGGTAGATTAACAGCATAAGCAAAAAAGGCAATGTAGGATTGAGAGTCGGATACCGGTCAAGAATTCCAAAAGCAGCCTATATTCCTGGCTCAAGCCTTCTTCATCAATTAACTAGGCTCTGTCCTAAGAATGCACACAGTGGGCTTAGTATAGCATGCGTGAGAAGCATGTGTTTCTCTCCTGTTGAAATTAGCCCACTTGGGTGATGTCTGACTTGGGTCTGTGATCTCTTATCTCCCTGAGTAACCACTTAGGGCCTCTGCTCGCTTTCCCTTTTCTTTTGTCTCATCAGCCTGTGAAACTGAAGTGTACTGCCAAACATGAAGTGGAGAAGTGTGAGATATGCTTACAGTATGAGCCCCAGCACATTTGGGGGGTTAAGGTTTCTTCCCGCCCCTCGTTCCACCATCCAAGCGCCCAGCTGATCAAATACTCCTTGCCCATCAGTCGTTCCTCTGTGCAGATCTGAAATCAGCTACACAGCTCTCAGAGTCTTGAAGAGTAAAGGAAAGGATCAGAGAGAAAACCTGTGGCAGGACTTCCAGGCCATTTTTGAGTCATTCCAGATGAGACACCCACGGAAGAGGACAAGGTACACTGGGATGGACGTCAATGTCAAGGTTATGTCTTCCGAGAAGCACCATGTCTGCATTCATTGTTTTTATAGCAAGATGATACACTATGTGTCTGAGTTTAGTAATTTCTCCTTTCTGTTAGTAGAAAGCAAGACTCCACTAATAAAGCTTACGGGATTCAAGTGACCCTATATTTAGCAATAGGTCAGGATACAAACACAACACACACACATACACATATAGAGGAACACACGCATGCGCCAACTCTTAAAAGTCAGTCTAAATTCTGCTTGTCAACTCTACCACGAGAAGCTAAGGGGAAGCGCAGCGCTCTCTTCAGACTAAAATTCCTGATAGCCATGTTCCTTCCATCCTTTCTGTACAGACTAACATGTAGACTACATCTCAGGGTTCACACATTGCCCTAGCCATGATCCATGACATGTCAGGTTTTTGACTTGGTTGCTAAAAATCTTTAATGGTCAAGAAAAAACAGAACCCTTAAAAGGAAATCCCGAGAGTATACATCACATACCAACCTAGGCCAAACAAACCCCTACTCATTACTCTAAATGCCATGTTTTAAGATCGAGTCCTGGGGCTGGAGCGACGGATCATTGGTAAAGGGTTTCCAGCGTGAGGGGGTGACAGATCATGGCTTCCCTTTAGAAACAAGGCATAGACATGTACATCTGCAATCCTAGTTGTGGGGCAGGTTGAGAAGACAGGCAGATCCCTGCAGCTCAATGGCAGGCTACATAGTTACCAGTGTAGACAAGTTCAGTGAGAGACTGCATCTCCAAGAGTAATTCAGAGTGCCTGGCATGGTGGTGTCAACCTTTATTGCAGAGGCAGGTGGATTTCTGTGATTCTCAGGCCAACCTGGTTTACAGTAGCAAGTTCCAGGCCAACTAAGGCTTTGATGTGTCTCAAAAGCAAAAACTTGTGGGGCTGGACTGAGTAACACACTCGTTGTCAATCTTTGGTGCGCAACGCACATACAAAGAAAAGCAAATCCAGTTTATTTTTATTCAGAAGTGATATTCAACTCTCTCCAGCACTGCTATTGGACAGTATCTTTGTATATTTTTCAAAACTTCAATCCAAAGCTGCACTTCCCAATATTATATTGCCATTTCCCAGTGCACTTGAGGCCTGCTAAATTCAACAGGACTCCTAGTATTCTCAAGGCCGTGAGAGACTCCAAGAGGGAGGCCAAAGAACGGACAGGCATTTGAATCACTGAGTGACAGGCTGGGCCAGCTCCCTGTATACATTAATAAATTAGAATTTTAATTGTGTCTCTGTCTGCAGGAGATGCCCTGGTACTTTAATATGTACCAACAATTGGCTATGTTATGGAATCTGCAATGTGGCCTCTGCTGCTGACCCCTGAAACACAATTCCCAGACTGACTAAGGAAACTGTTCAGTTTGATCCTTTCAACTTATTTGAATCCTGACAAATAAGCTCACCGCTGAAAGGTCAACACAGTCATATTTCATCCTCCTGAGCTGTTCTTAAGACATCTGCACAACAAAGCCCTTCTTACAACACCTGACATCCACCTTCCACGGCACTGCACCTCATTATAACTGTCGCACACCCGCACCTACACAGCCTTAAGAGGGTGCGAGTTGCTGGTAGTTTACTAAACAGCTGTCTTTGGAAGAGTCTATAAACATTCACACTGATATTCAACTTGTCCACTAACCTGTCACTGTAAGGTTGGACATTTTTGGAAGAAGGACAGTTTCCCTGGCACAGTAGAGAAGCTAGAATTGGCTTACCAAGGACAGGACGACATGTGCAGTGTTGTTCAGAAGTTGGCATTAGTTTATTCTAATCCAGGGCGAGGTTGATACATGTAGATCATATGGACTAGTAACACACTGTGTTATTGCTCATCACAAATTGTTACAGAACTTCCAGTGAGAAATCATCCTTGGCCTCCAATGGGGAGTGAGGCACCTAATACCTACCTTCTACCTTAAATGCGGCCCTAAATACCCTGCCTTGACTTTTATTTTTTTTAATTTTATACCACAATTTTTTTTTTTTTTTTTTTGGTTTTTTCGAGACAGGGTTTCTCTGTGGAGCCCTGGCTGTCCTGGAACTCACTCTGTAGACCAGGCTAGCCTCGAACTCTCGAACTCAGAGATCCACCTGCCTCTGCCTCCCAAGTGCTGGGATTAAAGGCGTGCGCCACCACCGCCCGGCATACCACAATTTTCTATTCCAAGACTCAAACCCAAATTAGATTTTATGAACTTACTTCTCCTTAACTCTATTAACCCCTTCGGCCTCGATGTGCCAGACGTGAGATGTTTTTGAAACAAGCTTCCCCATTTTCAACTATTCCCCATTTTCAATTGTTCCCCATTTTCAATTAATGACTCAAAAACACTCCGCAGGCACGTACTGAAGGAGGGCATATGCTCTACCATACTCATTACTGGGTGTAACAGCAGAAGCACTACACCCTCCTGGAGCCAAACAGAAGCTCTTGACACTGCAAACATCTGGAGCTTCTGAGCAGCACTTCCTTCTAGAGGACACGTTCGACACTGTGGAATGGTGAACAGCTCCCTTGGTCCAAAGGCTATGAGGTGTTAAAAATATCTCTGCACCCCTGTTCCCTGGTTATGAATAAAATATGTCTCCAGAATAAGAAACTTTATGTGTCGTCAATGGCGAAGTCAATTAATCTAGCTATTATAAAAAGTATGATGATGGACCCTCAAATAGCACGAGAATCCTCAAAAAAAACCCCGAAAAACAGAACTATCATTTGATTTAGCTAGAGCACTCCTGGGTGTACGTCCAAAGGAAATAAAATCAGTTGTGCTGGTTTGAACGAGAAATGTCCTCCACAGTCTGAGGCATTTGAATACTTGGTCCCCAGTCGGTGGCGCTGTTTGTGGAGGTTTATGAGGTCAGCCTTGCTGGAGGAATCACCGGGGTCTGGCTTGGAGATCGAAAGCCTTATACCACGCCAGATCACTCTCTGCTTCCTACTCAGGTTTGAAGATGCGAGCTCTCAGCTTCCAGCTGCCAAGTCTGACACTTGCTGCTGTGCCTCTCAGCCAAGATGTACTCTCATTCCTCTGGATAGTAAGCCTAAATAAACTTACTCATCCCAAAGCTGCCTTGGTCATGGTGTTTCATCACAGCACCAGAAAATAAATAACATATTGGCATACTGACACTTTTGCTCGCTGTGGAACTATTCAGATAGCTAAGACATGGAACTGGCCTACATGCCTATCATGAGTGGATTAACAGCAATGGAGTCGTCTCACCCACAAAGAAGAACAGACAAAACAGCTTTCTGTCATTTGCGGCAAAATGGTTGGAGTCAGAGGGCATATTAGTAAAGGAAACTAGCAAGACCTAGAGAGGCAAGTACTGTCTGCTCTCTTACATTTGTGGAAACTAAAAAGAGTCAACTTGAAGGTAGGAAAATAGTTACATGGGCCTGGAAAGGTGCAGTGGTGACGTCAGGTGGAGGAATATGATCAGTGCTGTGTGATTCATACATGATCCCCCCTAGCATGCTAGCTTCCTCCCAGTATTAAAACTTTAGGTATACAGAAAAAAAAAAAAAAAGCTTCTGGTCAAAGAGATTTTTCTCATGATATCATAGTCATCTCATAAACTAGAACACACTCACATTTTACACAAGTTTTCTTAAATGGTTTGCAATGGTCACGATAATCCACCCCTGCAAGGCTTCTCAGCCATGAAAGGGTATGACAGGAATTTTTTGAAAAAGAATTGCTACCTGAAGAGCTGCTGGTTGCTTGTCATTCCTCTTGGGAGACTTTAATCCACTAACTTGCTGTTGCTGCTGCTGCTGCTGCTGCTGTTGTTGCTGCTGCTGCTGTTGTTGTTGCTGCTGCTGCTGCTGCTGCTGTTGCTGCTGCTGCTGCTGCTGCTGTTGCTGCTGCTGCTGTTGCTGCTGCTGCTGCTGTTGAAGGAGGAGCTGCCTTGCCACCTGCAGGGCCTATAAGAAAAAATGAAGGGAAAGTCTTCATTATCACACAGGCCTAGAGACTCCCCTCACGAAGTGGATCTCAGGAAAATCCTTTCAGAGATGACCTTCACCTTTCTCATTTCTAGGCAAAAGAAATGGCAAGCAAATCTTCACCATCTACAAAGAAAACTCTCCAGAATATGTTTACATTTGCTTTGATTCAGTGAACTCATCCATGACTCCTCAGACATAGTATTTTACATAAGTAGACACTTCTTCCTCACTAAACAGCTGCCATGACATCTGTAAGTATGGATGGCTGGCACTGTGTAGACAGATATCAGAGAGGAGGCAGGAGGGATGAGAGAAATTTAAAGCTTAGGGGACAAGGAAGGGCTCTTACTGGACATACCATGTCCTGCTGGATTCTTCTTGGGGAAATTCAGAAAATCAAGTTTTCTGTATTTTCACCATACCTCCATCCAAATAAAGAGACAGAGCTAGGCAGTGGACCACAGGAACATGAGCCACCCTAGTAACAGCTATTCCCACAGAAGCTTAGAGCAGATGAATCATATATAGAATGATCTCACTGGAAGACAAGAGGAAAACCTACTGGCTAAGATATGGCTCAAGGGACAAGGGCTTTCCTAGCATGCATAAAGCCCTGGGTCCAACTTCTAGTACCACACGAAACAGGCATGGTGGCACATACTGTAATCCTAGCACTTGGGAACTGGAAGCCTGAGAGTCAGAAGGTCAAGGTGATCCTTAGCTGCTTGTATATATGTATGTGTGTGAGTACATGTGTGTGTGAATGTGTGCGTCTGTGAGTGTGTATCTGTATATATATGTATGTGTGTGAGTATACGTGTGTATAGGCGTATCTGTGTATGTGTGTGTCTGTGTATATGTGAATGAGTATATGTGTGCCTAAGTGTTTGTGTCTGTGAGTATATGTGTCTGTGTGTATTTGTGTCTGTGTGTGCATATCTGTGTGTGGATGTGAGTCTGTGTGTATGTGTGTGTATAAGTGTATGAATGTATGTGTATGTGTGTGTATGTATATGTGGGTATGGGAGTGTATGTGGCTGTTTGTGGCACACTGATTACAATAGATGTTCTTCTTCTAAATGTTAAAACTTTTGGTTATGGAATCTCCAAAGAATCTCAGAAATTTAAGGTCATCCTCAGAGGTTGAGTCCAGCCTGAGCTAACTTACCTAGACCAGCAGACAGAGATAAAATAAAAGGAGAGCTTAGCAAAAGTAGTCTGGGGTCATCTCAAAGTTTTCACTATGAACCCAGGAACCAAGCAGGTTAGTCTAAATAAGTCTTTGCAAGCTTTTTGAAGTGATGAGGTTTGCCTCCAAAATCGCAGTTACAGAAGTGGTATGAATTGGCAATAAGACAAAAGAAATACAAAGGAGACCTCCAAAGATTGAACATACAACTGGGTGCCTCCACCCTGTTTTCTAAGTTCAAGTGAAGAAAGAAGTCTTAACAACACAGATACTTCCAGTATTGAGATATTCACCGTCATAAAACTAAATATAAGAATTACCACAGGCCACACAGCTCTGTGAAGATGAGAGGACGAGCAGCCATAGGAAACCGAGGTGTGCAGGTCCTATGCCAGAACATCACATGGAAAGTCAGACTGCTTGGATCTACTCCAATGGGAGGCGAGTGCACATACGTGGAAGATCAGAAAGGATGCTTATGAAATGATGCACTTACATAAAAGGAAAATCATTGCATGTCATAAAAATTCTAAAGATTAAATACGTTTAGTTTGTGTGTATGGGGAGGGAGGGAGGGAGGGAGGGAGGGAGGGAGGGAGGGAGGGAGGGAGAGAGAGAGAGAGAGAGAGAGAGAGAGAAGACACAAATGTGTACCATGTATGAAAAGGCACCTGGAGGCCAAAGAGGATGTCAGTCCCCTTGGAGTTGGAGTTCCATTAGACTGTGATCTGTACAAGGGAGGTCCTGGGAACTGAACTAGGGTTCCCTGGGACAGCAGACAGTGCTCTTAACTACCAAGCCACATGCGTACATATACATGTACATATACATCATATCCATATATTTTTTTTAATGTGCCACTAATACTATTTGTACCTCAGGGAAGAGGCAATACAGATGTGATCAATGCTTCAATCAAAATCTGACACTGGAATGTGACATAAAAGACTGACTGCCATGGTACCAGCTTCCTCAGAGAAGGACAACCAGGTCACTTGGGTAGTAAAGTGTGCAGGTATGAGAGTACAGTTACAATGCTAAGCCGGAAGCCCGGGGCTGCCATGTTCTATATGCAGGAAAACAGACATGAGGGACAGTGGAGGGATTCCTGACTTCTAAGACAAGCTCCCTCAATAGAGCTGTAAAGGACTGCTGTACAAAGAACTTTTAGGACACTTCTTATGACTTAGGCCTCTGTGGCTAAGAGGCACAGAGGAGCACACACAAACAGAAGCACTAAAGGACAGGAGACAAAGGAACAATCTTGTCCTCACAAGTGGAGCCTGCCTCTGCCACCACTGCCTGCATCTACTCTCCCCTTCCGGGTTGGCCACCTGCTACTGAACTCACCCCAGGATCCCTGCATAAGGAGCACCCAGGCTCCTTTCCCTGGAAAGAGACAGACACATTTGAGAAAGCCTGCTTGAAAGGGAGGCTGTCTGAGAGGGGCAGCTGGAAGGCAAGTCGCCTGGGAGAGTTGCCTGAGACTCTACCCTGCTGTCTTGGTGGAGGATTCACCATCACTGGACTCTGGGTTTCCTTGTCTCCTTGGAGACGCTCAGTACATGCGTGGGTGGAAAAGTGGGCAGCGTGAAGATTTCATTTATATCATATAAGAAAAATAGTCCCCTGTGCAAGGTTCCCGCAGGAGCAAATGCCTCTCCTACTATCCCCACTCCCTCAGTTCTTTCACATAAAGCTCCCAAGGCTTTTCATGCAGGACAGGAAACTATTCTACATCACAAGCCTTCCGACAGAATCTCCAGGGTAAAGGCTAATCCCAAAAGGAGGCTCCAGCTGTGAGGTGCAGGCAGCCAGCAGGACAGTACCAGACAGTAAAAGCTGTGGCAGAGAAATACATGGGGGGGGGGGGCATTGCTACCTACCTGCAGTACCTAGGCAAACAAAACCACAACCCTACAATTTCCCTGGATTCACAAAATACTAAGGGATCAGGATTTGGGGCTTTGAAAACACTGAAGTCTCTAGAACCAATACAAGCTATCCCCAGCAAAGGGAAAATATTACGTGTCTATGAAATAGCACACACACACACACACACACACACACACACACACACACACATACACACGTAACGATTCTCACAACTGTGTGCACTTCAGAGTAAAACTGTAGGAATCCTCAGGCTTACTCTGACAGTTTCAAGTGGAGGAAAAGGTGATTTATATAGTTGATGTCTTTTATCATCATCATCATCATCATCATCATCATCATGTGTATGCATGATGGCTGTGGGGTACCCACTGTGGGCGTCAGGACATTTTATAAAGTCAGTTCTCTCCTTCCATATTTATGTGCGTTCTAGAGATTCAACTCAACTGGTAAGGCCTGTGTAGCCATCCAGGGCTAGTACCCACTGAGCCACGTTGCCAAGCCTGTGATGTCTTTTTTTAGACCCAACATAGGGTATCTGAACTTATCTGCTCATGTGATGACCCCCAGCTTTCCCCCATATTTCACAGGGAGCCTCACTACAAAAGAGAAGGGAAGACGGACACACAGAAGGGCTGCCAAACAGGTGTGTCCACAAGAGAATGTCATTAGACCTACTGAAGACAGAATGACAAGAGATGGCGCTGTATGAAATGGCTTTGGGGTTCAGTCTTCAAATGAATAAAAATAAGTAAAGGAATTTTAAATATTTCAGATGGCGAGAACACTGGTACAGAGAGGAAATCATTTGAGTGTAAAACTGTTACAAACATCCCATGATCATTCTCTTGCCTTGTGAATATGCTGGCAAAGGTGGGGGCAAATGTCACATTCAAAAAATACACTAAAAACCACCATGGGTTGCAACAAAAATTTTAAGACCTGAGTGATTTGAATGTGTCATTTGAAATCAGCCGCTAAGCGATGTTTTCAGAAATTCCATATTATCTAAATCTGTGCAATCTAGAGTTTAAGTTGTCACACACAAAAGGGATCTCGATTCTAAAGATATTTGGTTCCACGGGGTTCGACAGTACACACCTGTAGTAACAGGACTGAGGAGGTGAGGAAGACAGGGGGATTGTGTTTGTTCATGGTTGATCTGAGGAAGATTTGGAAAGACTGTCCCACAGACTTGTATTGATGATATGAATTTCACACACACTTAACAGCCATTCTGACCCACGATTCACATAAGCATACTTTAACATCCTTTAACTCAGGTTCCAGTAGGTCAGCCCAGGAGATGATCTTTATTCTAGAACCACAGAGAATGAGAAAGGACAGCTCTTACTTTCCTGTCTCAGAGATAACTGGGAAAAAAAGGTTTTTTTCATGTGCTGTTGGAAGATAAAACTAGACACACTGAAAATAAACTAAGTGTGGGGATGTGAGTTGTGGACATAGAGGGATGGAGAGCACAGGAAGAGGAAGAGGAAGAGAAGAAGAGGTGAGGGCATTTATGTGCACGGACATGAATAAATCAAAGAACTCCTCTTTACAGCACACAGTGCCTCTGGCTCATGTTCCAGGGCAAGCACTAATGTAAATAACTTAAAAGGCCTAACTCCATCTCTGGAGACCTTTTACTCTTGGTGGCTCTTCCTGGGCTGGGTGGAATCAACACTTCCTTTATAAAAGATGTGACAATTGCCTGGCACTGGATGACTCTGTGCTTATTTGAGCACTGAGATCAGGTTACAATAAAGACTCAGCTGGAGGGTGTCACCCAGCAGAAGCAGCTGATAAAGCCAGCACTTAGAAAGAGCCCTGTGAACTTACAGAAAGGGAGTGTACACGTGCAAAACCTTCACCTAGACAGACTGCCCAGGTG